GGTGATTTCTAGGTTAATTCTTAGGTCCTACCAGCACTCGGGAATCTCCAGGCTGTCTGTTCCATCAGGATTGCTCAGGATCACTGCCAGACCGCAGCTCCGTATGTCTCCTTTTTTGGTATTTTCACGCAAATTCTTTTGCTAGTTGGGGTTTAGTCCACTTCTATATCCTCCCCTTCAAGGCTCAGGGGTCCAGGATTATCTTCTGTGTCTGAGTTAATTGGTTTCCCTTTTCTTTGTTGAAGAGGGTCTGTGCAGTCTTTCTGCCTAGTCTGCCATCTTTCTGGATCCCCTTCTAATTTGAGTATTTTGTATAGTATCTTTTTTCTATTAAATATTTCAATTGGCTATTAATGCTGTATAGGAACATTATTGCTTTTTCTATATTGACGTTTTATCCAGTAGCTTTTTGAATTTCTGTTTTATTAGTTGGATTGAAGATTTTTGTGCAAGTTCTATTTAAATAGTTATATTATCTTCTAATAAGGATAGTTTTATATCAGTGTCTCTAATTTTTATTTCATCTATCTCTCTGTCTATCCCTCTGCAGTGAATTGCTTGATGTGGCCCTTCTAGGCATTGTCCTCCATTCTGTGATGTATTGTAAATCCTGTTATCCATTCCTGTTTGGAGTGGTATGGTAGTTCAGGTCGGGTGTCAACTTGGCTGGGCAGCTGGTCGTAGTCATTCTCTATAATGACTGGAAGTCAGCTCTGTGTTGGGATTTGCTGTGAGCAAATGAGTAGCTGCTGATTGTTAAAGTCATCCACTTGGGTTATTTCTGTTGGAGTAACATAGGTGGTATACATCTTTAGTCCCACGTTGCTGGAAGGTATAACTCAAATCACCACCCTTAGCTTCCTTGAGGGTATATACAGGAATCTTCTGGGAAGGTTCGTTCTCCCTCTTGCTCCAATTCTGCATTTTGGCTCATCATTATCTCACCCCTGGATTTGAGACAGCAGTTGTCATCTCATCTGCTGATTGAGGTTCATCACACTCTGAAAATTGGGAGGATCCTCCAGACCTACTTGCAGACTTGGGACTTGCCAGCCTGCCAGCCTCCACCACCAGTATGTGAGATGATCCCTTGTGTGTCTGTGAGTTCTGTGAGGCATTACAGTGAAATACAGAACCTTAAGATGGGGGAGATTACTGAGAGAGGAGGAAGAGTTAATGTCTGAAATGATGGAGTGGCATGGTAGTTTGGACATTTGGGACATCTTTAACAGCCACCTCATAGGGACCTGCCTTGTGCTGATCTTTCTGAGAGAAATTGTTCAGGCACCATCCATCCATCTTCCTACATTGGCTAGGCTTTTTTGAATGGTATTGAATGATAGCAGTGATGGGAGACACTTCTTTATTACTGAACTAATGGAATGCTTCTAAAATTTCAACAATAAGAATGATGTTTATTGTAGATTTTGATAGATTTGCTTTACCAGGCTAAAGAACTTTTTAATTCTTATTTTACTAAAGTTTTATCATTGCTAATATTCAGTTATTATCAAATGCTTTTTCTATGTCTGTTGATTATCAGATTTTTTTTCTTCTATGATCTATTAGTGTGGTGTATTACATTAGTAGATTGTCTGGTACTGAAGTAAACTTGCACACTTGTGAAAAAAAATTACCTGGCAATGATTTTTTTAATACATTACTGGGCAGATTCACTTTTTTATTTTAATTTTTTAATCTATTTTTATTAGTGAAGCTGATCTATAATCTTCTGATTGTACTCTTCCTGGTCAAGGTCAGGCATCTAGGATATTAACATGAGTTGAATAGATTACCTTTTTCTATTCTCTGAAACAGTTAGAAAAGTAATATGTCATAACTAAGTAGGGTTTATCCCAGAATGTAAGGATTGGGAGAGAGAAGTAAAATAAAAGCCAAACACCTTTCATTCCAAATTGTCAGCACTTTATGAGATAGCATGTTGTTCCCCACATGGACTAGATCTTCCACTCACATATAGGGGCTTCCAGTGTTGTGGGTGGAGTAAGGGATCCTTTGGCAATATACCACAGGTAAACATTTGGCTCTAAATAATAGGCAATGCTACAAGCTATTATAATGGTTTGATGTGTGAGAATTATTCTTCCCAAAGATTTGAAGCATCCTGACTCCAGAGGTCGTGTTCTTTTATTTCTCTGTGTTTCTGAGCCTAGCACAGGCTTAGTACATAATGAATTCTATCCGCAGGTTCTTTATTATGGGCCTCTTGGATTATGCCCACATAGTAACTCAGATTTTGTGTGCCTTAACAAGATACCTGCAATGATCTTTGTAAGGTAACTGAGGGCCAAAGATCCTGAGTGATTTATCTGAAGTCTTGGATAAGAGTTAAAAGAAGCAGAGCACAGGTCTCCCCACTGGCTCCTAGGGGAGCATTTGTATTTAGATTTGTCCACATGCTGCCTCCACTGCTGTGATTACTTCCTCATAGCTGATGTTCCAAGCTCATATTGCTGCTGTCTCCTGTCGGTACATACCTGGCATTGCATCATTCTTCCATAAATACTTTTTTGACATAGGAGCATCTACAGTTACTCAGCCCAGCATATTCCTTCTTCAAACTTCTGCAGCGTTCTGGATAAGAAAGCTCTTCTAGTCATCCCCACACAGGGACAGGAGAGTAGGGCTGGCTGTTCATGTGTAAGATGTGGACAAGTTGGAAATAGGGCTCATGAAATACCTGTTATGCAAATTGTTGTTTCTCTGTCACCCTTGAGGTGGTGGGCAATGGTCTGGTTAGCAGGAATGATCTGAAGCTCATGGGTAGGTGTGGATGTAGTTTGCCGGGCTGTGCTGTGTGTGATGAAGCAGAGCCAGGAATAGGGATGCAGGTGCGCATGACGTGTGCTTGCCTGAGTGACAGGCTAGGTCATGTGGCTAGAGGCAATGCTGAGGGAGCTGGCGAACACAGGGCTATGCACAGGTGGGTCCTGCTTCTGGTTCTACAGATGAGAGTTCTCAGAAATTCTACTCAAGTGTTTCAGCTTTATGCCTTCCCATATATTTGTAATGATTCATGGAGGATGCAGGATGGCTGAGGGTCTCAGCAGGTCCAGCTTTTACCAAAGACTTTTTTACCCCTTTAGTTTCTTACTCATATTTTACTTTTATTTAAAGACTGAATATCATTTTAGCTGGGTAATGTTAAGTTCATAATTCTTTATTAAAACTATTGTTGTAAATGACACACACACACACACATGCACACATACAAAGAATGCTTCTCAATTTCACTGACAATGTAATTTCTTTCTTTCTTTTTTTTTTAAGCAATAGTGATGTTTGATGAAGGAATCCAATTTGCTGTTGACTGACAGGGGCTTCTGAAAATTGACACTCTGTGCTGATAGCTTTCTAGAATGGTCCATCATATCTGTTTGTCTGTTTCTAAAGAATTTAGGGTAGCTTATAGAACAGTGACCTCAGTGTGTAGAGAAATCTTTCAAAAGAATTTACAGAGTGTCCCAGGGACTGTGACTGTGACTGCCACAACGCAGGATCTTCCAGGAGAAAGCTGCTCGATGCACATGCTGTTGGTGGTACTGATGATGAGGAAGAGAATCTCTGTATTAGAAAAGATTTCCAAGATTCAGCCACTTACTTGATTCAACCAAATTCAACACAATGGACTTTTATTTACAAAGTTGTTCTTTTTTGCATGATGACAAATTTGTCTCTAACTTTTGTTCATTAGGAATGGAGCCTATGGAGGTGCCTCTTGAGGAAAACATTGAACAAACTCAGATTTGCCAAAGCAAAGTCTGTGCCGACAGGTAAGATTCTGAAGTAGGTGAAAATCTCAGATCCATCTGCAGGGGCGACTCAGAGGGGAGGGAGAGCAGTGCCCTGTATGGTCTGTCCTCTGCTACACCCTCAGTCCAGTCTCCTCACTCTTCCCTCTTGTTCACTCTACTCTCACTACATTAGCTCCTTGGTATTCTTTAAACTCACCAAGCACACTCCCACCTCAGGTCTTTGCACTCACTGTTCCCTCTGCCTGGATGGTGTTTCCCCTACTTATAACTATAAGGCTCACTCCCTCACCACCAGGTCTCTGTTCAAAAGCTCCCTTCTCAGAGGGGCCACTTGACCACCCACAGTCAAGAGCTCCTCCCTATCTGCTTGCTCTGCTGTATTCTTCTCCTTTATGCTTACTGTATCCTGATTCATTACTTTATGTTTGTTGATTTTCAGTCCCTCCCACTAGACGGCCAACTCCAGGAGAGTAAGGCTTTATCTGTGTTGCTCACTGTAGAGCCTGGAACAGCGCTGGGTGCAGAGTGTGGTGCAGGAGGATGGGGTTCGGAGACCACTGCCGCAGTCTAGTGGAGGCATGATGGTGGCTTGATTGAGGTGGTTGCAGTAGAGGTGGTGAGGAAAGATACCTGCTTAAAGTTTAAAAAACTGGCTGATGTGTCTAGAGTAGTTGTAAGTAGTGCAAGTAGAAAGGGCAGCTAAGCACCTGTGTTTGTAGCACAGATGAGACAAGATGGAGGCTTAGACCAGGATCAGAGAGAAAACCAGGCAGTGGGATATACATTCTGGAAGTAGAATCACCTTAACTAGCTGATGGATTGGATGTGAAGGCTGAGAGTGAGGGTGATGGGGGTATCAAGATGTCTCTCTGGTTTTGACAGTGTAACTTTCAGGTGCTAACTGATAAGTTATATTCCATATAGTTGTAGATTATTACCTACTCTGAGTTATTGATGATAAATCACCTGCTAAATTTTAGGAAATGTAGAAAGTAGGATTGAATGTACAGTAAAACTTGTGAAAGAGAATTGTGTAAGGCAGAAATCTGTCAGAGAGGAAAAGAGCAAATCTTTTCCATTAAACAAGCAATTGAAAAATGGTAAGATGGTAAGATTGCAATGAAAGAATTGGTGAAGAACAAGTCTCCAGGAATTGACGGAATACCCATTGAGCTATTTTAACAAACAGATGGCCCATTGGAGGCACTCACTCGGTTATGCCAAGAGATTTGGAAGACAGCTACCTGGCCAACTGACTGGAAGAGATCCATATTTGTACCCATTCCAAGGAAAGGTGATCCCACAGAATGTGGAAATTATAGAACAATATCATTAATATCGCATGGAAGTAAGATCTTACTGAAGATAATTAAAAAACTGTTGCAGCAGTATATTGACAGAGAACTTCCAGAGGTGCAAGCTGGATTCAGAAGAGGACATGGAACAAGGGATATCACAGCTGTTGTCAGATGGATCTTGGCTCAAGGCAAAGAATACCAGAAAGATGTTTACTTGTGTTTTATTGACTATGCAAAGGCATTTGATTGTGTGGCTCATGACAAATTATGGATAACATTGAGAAGAATGGGAATTCCCAAACACTTGATTGTACTCATGAGGAACCTATACCTTGACCAGAAGGCTGTCATTTGAACAGAACAAGGGGACACTACATGGTTTAAAATCAAGAAGGGAGTGCGTCAGTGTTGTATCCTTTCTCCACACTTATTCAATCTATATGCTGAGCAAATAATCCGAGAAGATGGACTATATGAAGAAAAATGTGGCATCAGGATTGGAGGAAGAATCATTAACAACCTGAGATACGCAGACAATACAACTTTGCTTGCTGAAAGTGAGGATGACTTGAGGCACTTACTGATGAAGGTTGAAGAGTACAGTCTGCAGTATGGATTACGTCTCAATATAAAGAAAACAAAAATCCTCACAATTGGACCAATGAGCAGCATCACAATAAATGGAGAAAAGATTGAGGTTGTCAAAGAATTCATGTTGTTTGGTTCTACAATCGATGCCAATGGAACCAGCAGTCAGGACATTAGACAACGTGTAGCAATGGGAAGGTCAACCGCGAAGGAACTGTTTCAAGTGCTGAGGAGCAAGGATGTCTCCTTGAGGACTAAGGTGCGCCTGACACAAGCCATGATAGTTCTAATTGCCTCGTATGCATGTGAGAGCTGGACAGTGAATAAGGAAGACCAAAGAAGAGTTGATGCTTTTGAGTTGTGGTGCTGGCAAAGAATGCTGAATGTACCATGGACTGTTAAAAGAACTAACAGATATGTCCTGGAGGAAGTGCACCCAAGATGCTCCTTGGAAGCGAGAATGGCCAGACTTCATCTCACCTACTTTGGTCACGTTGTCAGAAGGGACCATTCCCTGGAGAAGGATGTCATGCTTGGTACGGTGGAGGGTCAACGAAAGAGGGGAAGGCCTTCAATGAGGTGGATTGACACGGTGGCTGTAATGATGGGCTTAAGTATAGCAGGGATCATGGAGCTGGTGCGGGATCGGGCAGTGTTTCATTCTGCTGTGCATGGGGTCGCTATGAGTTGGAAAGGACTTGACAGCACCTAACAACAACAACAACAAGATTGCATTCTATCAAAGGAGGAAAACGTGGGACAGGGAAAAACAAGGCAGTCCCATCAAGTTCTGGCTGTCACAGGTTTCACTGTAATAAACCAAAATGTTAGCCCATATGGCCTGGCAGTGAAAGAAAATATTACATCAGAGTGAAAAACCAGGATATGTGTCTGTGTTTTAGGGCTTCTTAAAGCAGAAAAAGAGACTGGTCCTTAAGGTCTCAAATTCCAAGCTTTGTGGTTCTCAGAGGTGATAATATAAACAAGAAGAACTTCTGAAGATGTTTTGTTATTATATTATCATTGAATTGTTTTCAACTCAAAGTGACCCTATGTGACAGAGTAAAACTGCATAGCATTTTCTAGGCTGTAATGTTTCTAAGAACAGATGGCCAAGTCTTTCTCCCTCTGAGCCACTGAGTGGATTCAAACCACCACCCTTTCGGTTAGCAGCTGAATGCTTAACTGTTGTTCCACCAGGCTTCCTTCTACAGCTTTTATCTGACCTGAAGCTTTCACATAAGCCCTAGCCTGTATGTCTTCTCATGCCTTGTAAATCTACCTGTGACTTCCTAACCACACCTGTCACTTTGGCACACCTCTCCGGGGGGTCTGGCATAGTGCAATTTTAATTTCTATCTAACTTTTTTACAGTTTAGATTATTGTTTAAAGAAATACTAATATTTTCCCCTCCAACCTCCCCTGATTTTTTTTTTTTTTTTGCCAGGGTAAATACTTATGACTGTGGAGAAGAAATTTCTAGATGGTTGTCAGTGTTTTTTGGCCGTCAGTGTCATTTGATCAGACAAAGTTCAGGCTTCCAAAGAAACGCAAAGAAGAAACATAGAAAAGGTATCACATTTTGAGTTGGTTCTTAGGGGCAGGAACCTGGGGTTACCCTTGAATACATCAAAAGCAGCTCATGAAATGGATTCACAGAGAAACTTGCTCACTTACAGCAAGCAGAACAGGCTAGTCAGCCTTTGGCAGAAAGCGGCTACAGTAGCTCCAAGATCAGCAGGACTTGGCGTGGCAGTCATTGTAACCTTAAGGTGGCAGGGAAGGCTTTGAGCCAGCTGCCTTGCTCCACTCAAACCTTAGCATCAGTCCTGCATGTTTAGAAGTTCAGGGTTATTAAATGAGAAGACCAGTTGGTTGCTATGTCCTCAGATCAGAACTGGAAACAGGAGTTTCCAGTCTTGGCTCTAGGATCAAATAGTTGCGAGACCTTGGCAAGTCCTTGAACCCCACAGTGCCACAATTTCTTTAGACTTCAACCAGTTAGACTTTTAAAAGTTTTGACAGTTTTTCCTATCATAAACCATTGCTAGGCTGAAATAAAACAGTAGAGAAGAAAGTACTTTGAAAGTTCCCAGTAACATACTCCCAGAAAAGTCATTTTCAGCTGTCCGCTTAAAAATCGTCTCTTTAGAACTGTAGTCTCTACCTGAACTCCCAGTTCCCTTCCCTGGTTTAATTTTCTCCGTGGCACTTTTCATACCCTATAGACCATATATTTTATTCATTTATTTGGTTTATGTTCTGTCTTCCTTCTACTAGTAAAAAGGTTCCATGAGAAGAATTTTTGTTTTTGTTCAGTGCTTAGAGCAGCACCTGGCACATAGTAGTTGCTCAATAATTATTAGATGAACGAATGAATGGATCATTGCTGCATTGTTGTCTGTGCCAGAATGACCTGGCCCAGTGGCCAGCTCCCAGAGACTCTGACCTGTCAATCTGAATGGCATTTTGACCATACACAGACCGTTGTTGTTGTCAGGTGCTGTTGAATCGATTGCTACTCATAGCAACCCCATGCGACAGAGTAGACCTCCCCCATAGGGTTTTCTAGGCTGTGATCTATGTGGGAGCAGATCACCAGGTCTTTCTTCCATTGAGCTGCTGGGTGGGTTCAAACCCCCAACCTTTCCACCAGCAGCAGTGTGTTTAACCATTGTGGAGCCCCAGGTAGTGGTCACAGAGATAAGAAGAACATATGTCACTTGTGAACATTTGTGCCCCAAGATTCTGGTCATAGTGGAGAGATCTCTGATGGTCTAGGCCACTGGTCTTCAAACAGTTCTGCTTTAGTACCCTTATCATTTTTTTTTTTTTTTAATTGTTGTGATTTGGGTGAAAGTTTACAGAGCAAATTCATTTTCCATACAGCAGTTCACATACACTTCATCTCATGACGTTGACTACAATTTCCCACAATGCAACAGCTCCCCTCCTATATCCTTCCCATAGCTACCTCTTCCCTGTGTCCTTCCTTCCCATGCACTCCTATCCCCCGAGCTTTCTTCCTGTGCATACACAGCCTTTCTCTTCTCCCATGACTGATCTCTTCAGGGAGTATATCTACCTAATGTAAAGGTTCAGTTTATATGCCTGTCTTTTGTTTGGCTGGAAGGCACAGGAGTGAGTTCAGTTCCAGACCTGAAGGGCAGCTAGGGCCATAGCCTCAGTGGTTCCATCAGGCTCTGTCAGACCAGCAAACCTGGTCCTTTTTTTTTTTTTTTTTCTTTCTTTTTTTTTTTTTTTAAATTATTTTGAGTTTTGTTCCACATTGTTCTCCTACTCCATCCAGGATCTCCTACATAAATCCCCCCCGAGTGGTTGACAGTGGGAGCTGGGCTTTAGTACCCTTATAATATTTTAAAGCTGCAGTCCCTACTTACATTTTTATGTTGTCATCTTAATTTTTAAGATAGTTTAAATCATTGCAAATGATGTGGTCTTTAAAAGCTTATAAATATTGATATTTAAAATAGAAACTTGTACAATACTATATTAAACATAGTAGAATCTCAGTACCATAGCAATTTGATTCCCATGAGTGTTCATTAAAAAATATGTGTGTGTTTATACACACACCACATACACATACATATACGAGCTGTCTCATTACAGTCAGAAATTTTCTTTCTTTCCTTTTTTCTTTGAACTTATATTTCTACTCTACTTCCTGGTCAAAATTTGATCTTAGTGTTATGTATTTTATTAGCAAAATAAAATGAAAATCTTTTGATCACTCTGTCATTCATCTGTGAACCAAAAATGTGTCTCTCAATTGAAATGTGTAAACATTTAAAACTGTAATGATAAGGGTCTAAATGTTAGGAATTTTTTTCTGCATTATTATTTTTATTAATAATTGATCAAAGCAACAAATTCTGTTATCAATAATTACTACACATGAAGTGAAATATTGTTAAAAAAATAAATCTTTTAATGAGATGGGTAGCTTCCCCTTAGTTCCCATGTCCATGAATGACTGTTGCTTTGGGCCAAAATACCTGGTGTTCAATACTAGTTTTCTTTGGAGAGACCTTATTTGTGTAAATAAAGATCTGGGGATGGAGGAGTTTGGTTCACTCACCAGTCACTGGAAACTTTCTTATGAGGCATGTGACCAAAGCACAGGGATCTAACATGAAAATGGCTTTAATCATCTGTCACTTGACGACTTAATTGGGTGTTGCAAAGAATTGGACTCTGTCTGACCTATAGGGGCATCATTTAAACTTCAGGGACTTTTATTTCTCAGCACTGAGTTCAGAGTTTGAATGGGGCTTTTGTTTTCTATTCTGGAAGTGTTTATCTTCCAGAGGCAGTCTGTTGTAGGAGAGTCTTTCCTCTGTGGAGTGGGAGAAGGGCCTTTTATGGATGTGGCTGGAATGGAACCTCCGTTCTCTGGCAGAACAATTTTAGCAAGAAAGAAAGTGGAGGATCTGGAAAACAGTTCTCTTACAAGTTTCCATTCTCAGGTACTCTGAGGCCCACAGACTGGGTTTGAAGACAGCCTGGTATGCCCTGCCCAACCCATCCTTTTTTTTAAATCAACCTCTTGCATAATGACAGGAGTCGCCTGGGTGGTGCAAACAGTTTAGCACTCTGCTACTAACCAAAAGTGTTGGGAGTTCAGATCCACCCAGGGACACTTTGGAAGAAAGGCCTGGTGATCTGCTTCCAAATGGTCACATCCATGAAGACTGGGGAACACAGGCCATCTCTGTAGCTTATGGGGTTGCCGGAAGTCAGAACTGACTTAATGCAACTGTTTTTTTTTTTTTTTGTTACTGGTGGTTAAACTAGTAAAGGGGTGCCCATCTAAAGGGAGAAGGAAGCTGAGACAGACTGCCCACAGTTCTACCACAGTTCTAACTGGATCTTGATATTTTCTTTCAATAGTTTTGTCTGTTTCCTTTCAGTTGTTTTAAAACTTGTATTATTTTTTTCTAGAGTTAATTATTTCACACTTGCCCAAGGATGAGTAGCTCTTCACTGATTAGATTCAGAAGGTCCTCTTTTTCTGTTTCCCTCATCAAGGCCACTCTTACTGCCTTGTTTTGAGGAAGGACAACCCCCCCCCCCGCTACTTTTTAAACAGTTTTCTAGGAACTCATTTTCCTTTCCATTTATGAGTTTTAGAACTTCTATTATTATTATTATTGCCAGGGCAGCATTTCTTCCCTTGCAGAATTAGTCTCTACCTTTTAAAAATGCATGTCAATGGAAGCAAGATTCATTTCTATTCTAAGAAAGCAACCCTTCTTTTAAATGCCCCATTGTTTTTAGGTCACTCTCCTGAAACAACAGCTACCCTTTCTTTGGTGAATGAAGCCCAATATCTGCTACTCAACAGATCAAGTGTTTTGGAACTTCGGCAGCAATTAAATGTTAGGTAAGATCTCTTACCTCTGGAATAGCAGACAAGTATAACCACTTGCCCCTGGGAATAAGAGCCGGTACTTACCTGTTCACCTGGTTTCCCAAATCCTTCATCTCTTCAGCTAAGATCTAATCACACTTTGCACTGCTTCCTGTGGTCTTGGCCCTGGAGCCTTAACCGTACTACACAGGGTGGCTTTCAATGTCTGTTTAACAGATTTGTGTCCCTTGACCTTACCTGTGTGGTAAAAGCTTGTCCAGATCATTCAGGCCTCAGGCCAGAGTAGTGCTGATGAAAGCAGACATCACAGAATAGACAGGTTGAATTATTACAATGGAGCAAGCAATTGTCTCCTCCACTTCTTTCCGTTTTGGGTATGTCTTAAACAGTGATGAGAATGGAAAGGAAGAATTATTCGCACTGAGTGATCTCATCTCACGTTTCCGTGCCAATATTGTTATCAGTGGAACAGGGGCTTTTGAAGAAGAGAAATGGGATGAGATTTCAATTGATTCCTTGCATTTCCAGGTAAGCTCCAATACATTCTGCTATCCTTCCCCAAGGGTTGTCAATGACAATTGACCTGAATCCCTCACCTGGGTGGTGGCAGGCAGGAATCCTTTCCCTGCCACAACTTTTAACCACCACATGGTCACTGCAGGAGGGTATCTGATGTCAGCATTCTGGAATGTCCCTTAGGATGATCTATCTATAGTCACCATGCCGTGCACAGATGATGGAAGGGCTCATTGCTCCCTCTACCTGGCCATCATATCTATGCTTAATCTCTGTTTTCTTAGAGCACTTGTGTCTATAAGAAATCCATCTTCCCAAATATTCTTAACTTTCTTGTAGCCTGGAGCACTTGGAGAAGGACCCAGAAGCCTTCTCATGCTCTGGCTCTGGCCTTGCTGGCTGGGAGCTTACAGCCAGTGGCAAAGCCACCAGATGTTCTCACTCCCCAGGCCTTTCTCAGAGAAGAGAGTCTTAGGCTTAGATCTGTCTTCCTCATGCAGCCTAGGAAGGAGCCCTGGTGGTGCAGTGGCTAAGCACTTGGCTGCTAACCAAAAGGTTGGCGGTTTGAACCTACCATCTGCTCCATGGGAAATAGATGTGGTAGTCTGCTTCTGTAAAGATCACAGCCTTGGAAACACCATAGGGTCAGTTCTACTCTATGAGTGACTATCAGTCCCTATGAGTCAGAATTGACTGGAGGGCAGTGGGTTTTCAAAACCCTTGTCAACCTCTCTGAGCTCAGCACCCCTCCCCTCCCTGACTTTGTCATATTCACCTTCCCTCTACTCCTTAAGCATGGCCAGCACCTTGCACCTTGCCCTTGCAGAGTGTTCTGCCTGATGTGCTATCCCTGTAGCTACTCCTGGGTCTCAGCTCAGAAGTCACCTCCTTGGAAAGATTGTGCCTGACCCACCACACAGTCACACTTTGCAGGGTTACCTGCTTATTCCTTCAGAGTGGTGACCATGTCTGTTTTGTTCACTGCTACCTCACAGGACTGCTAGAACAGTCCTGGCCAAGTCAGTGCTCAGTAACTAATTGTTGAGGGAATGACCGGACAGAAAGACAAGTCATCTGCAGGGAATGTGCCCAATTCTCAAGTGGGCAGTAAAATTATTTTAATAGTAGTAGTGTTGTTAGCCAGTGCTATAAATTAAGTATAATAGGGCTATTTTATGTCCAGGCTCTGCACTTTGAATGAATACCACTTTAACGTCCAGAAAATCAGTAAACAGTAATTTAAATCTTTAGTGAAGAATTTACATGGTTGGGCAGGAGGTAGGGGGTAGGATGGTGGTGATGGTAGTAGATAAACTGCAAAGCCCCAAAAAATGTACCAAAGATCTTATTTATCTATTTAACCCTCCCAGACTTCCTTATATCCTGACAGCTGCTGCCTTCTTGAAATTAAATTTCTCCTCTCTCCTAAATTTCTTTCCACAAACTTCTCCCTCTGGTACCAGCTCTCCTGCCATTCTCCCCCATCCATCTGTCCTGATTTACTCTTCTTTTTCTTTACTCTCTCTGCCATGTTAGCTTTACTGTGTTAGAAACACCTGCACTTACATATCCTGTTGGCACAAAGTACTGTTGGGTAGATAGACAGACAGAAGGGAGAGAAAAGGAAGAAAGAGGGAAGGAATGAAAGAGAAAGATCTAGAAGTAGACTGGGGTCATTATTAGAAACTCACCTGGCAACAGTAGCACCTGTGCCTCTCCGGGTACGTGGGGACATAAATACAAAAGGACCATTTCAGGACCCATTCTGAGATGACTTCTTAGCGTGGGTTTGCTTTCTTTAGGTCACTGTTTAAACAGCAATTAATAGAAGTTACAACATGTATGCCCTTTGGCCCAGGATTTCACTTGTAGAACTCTATTCCATAAAAGTACTCATACTAGTGTGCAAGATAGATTACAAGATTACTTGTTATGGAATTTTTGTAATTATGAAAAGTTAGGGTGCACCTTAAAAGTTTATAATAGGGAGATTGGTTAAATAAACTATGCTATATCCATATAATGTACTCCTGCGCAGGTATTAAAAAGTATAGGATATAGTTAATGCTTTGCCTTTCAAAAAGTAAATGCTTAAAAAACTATTTTTGATGATAATATTCCAAGCTGAAGCAGTTACAATGAAAGTAGCACATCTCTTTTGGAAAGCAGTTTTTCATTTGGTATAATCAAGCCATAAAATCTTTTATGTCTGTTAGGCTTAGAATCTCACTTTGGGAGACTGATTTTAAGAAAACAATTTCAAATAGGAAAGAGAATTATGTGAGTTAAGACCTTGATAGAAAAAGTATTAGAAATGATTTAAGGTCACTGGTGGTGCAATTCTTAAGTGCTTGGCTGCTAATGAAAGGTCAGCGGTTGAAACCCACCAGCCGCTCCACGGGAGGAAAGACCTGGTGATGTACTCCTTTAAAGACTGTACTCTAAGAAACCCTGTGGGGCAGTTCTACCCAGTCACATGGGGTCACTGTAAGCTGGAATCGACTCTCGGCACAACAACAAAAGGAACTACTTATATGACTTCAAAGTGGAATTCTAAATGCCCTCAGAAAGACCAGTCCATCGTGAAAATCTCAAAACATAAGAGCAAGGTAGGTCTTCATGTACTGATGTGGAAGGAAATCCATTAGTTATTGGTTGTGCAGTGCCTAAGGCATTTGTCTGCTAATCAGAAGGTCAGTAGTTCCAAACCACCAGCTAATCCACAGAAGAAATATGGGGCAATCTACTTCAGTAAAGATAGCGTAGGTCGCTATGAGTTGGAATTGACTTGATGGCAGTGAGGTTTTTTTTTTTTAAATTGTGGCGTAATTAGAAAGATACCAGAGTTGCCTCTGTGAGTGTTTGCACGTGTGCACGTGTGCATGGCATGTGCACATTTGTGCGCAGCTCCCTGCCTAGCCTGGGCTGATCTGCAGCCACTAGCAGCATTGCCTCTGTGGATGGGGAGGGGAGTCCTGCTGGGTGCATTCTCTAAATTCTTCAAGCTTCAATATTGTTCAAGTTATTTTTCATTGATCATATAGGCTAATAAAAAGGAGCCCTGGTGGCACAAAGGTTAAGTACTCAGGTGCTAACTGAAATGTTGGTAGTTCGAACCCACCCAGGGCTCCATGGGAGAAAGATCTGCTTCCATAAAGAAAAGTTGGAATGGATTTGATGGCACCCAACAAACAACACAACAACTAATGCTAATAGACAAGTTTTACAAATACCAGCTGATAAGGGTACCAGGAAAAAAAAAAACTTAAAAATTAGAGTGTTTTAAGAAAATTATTTTCTTATTGCTATTTGAAAAAAAGTATCTGGAAAATGTCCCTCCTCCAGTTTGACAAACTGTTTTAAGAGGGCCTTTTCACCAAGGTGATAGAATTTTTACTTAAGGTGCTGTCTGTCAGTGGCAGCAGGAGCCTGGGCCCGGGGCTTGTGGGTGCTGCTGTGTTCCAAGCATCCCCTACTGCAGGACATAGTTCAGCAGAGTCAGAGGAAGCCTGGCTCTGGGAGTCAGTCATTTTCAGGCAGAGCAAGGTAAGAGGGTTTTGTACATTGAGGGGCACACCTTCTCCTTGAGGGCACAGTGTCCTCTTCTGGCAGGAGACTCATTCCGTCTCAGGAATTTGTCTTGGTTACTTCGTGCTGCTCTAATAGAAGATGCCACAGATGGGATGGCTTGAACAAACAGGAGTTTATTCTCTTATAGTTCGGAGGCTAGAAGTCCGAGTTCAAAGTGCCAAGTTCTAGGGGCTGGGTAAAATCCCCTTGACTGTGGGCTCCAGCTCTGCCTCTTGCTCCTGGCCCAGTGAAGCTGGAGGCTTTCTTCACTCAGGCAGCTGGTTGCTGAGGCTGACAAACCTAAGGTCAACAAGTAAAAAGGCACAGTCCCAATATTACCAAACCACACGGTGGGCCACTGATTCAAGTCCGTTAAGAGTCCCAGTATCGGCAGACAACATGGCAGGCTGCTGGATGACTACTAGGCTGTGTGCAGGATTCAAGCCAAAGAGCTGCAGACCATTCCCAAAGCTGCTCCTCATGTTCTGGAAGCAGACCACATCCCTAAAGCAGCTACTCAGCTGCTCATGGCAGATTCCACCATGAAATTGATTGCCAGTTTGATCATGGGGAACAACTACCACCAGCTGCGTAGCCACTCAAAAGCAGGCCCAGCCAAGATGACACATAACCTTGACTACCACAGGGACCTTCATTTATAATAATACATTTTCCATTTTTGAGCACTGTTGAGGGTCAGACCTGGGCTTGGCACTCCAAAAGTAGTATCTGGAATCCTCAATATTCCAGTTAAGGTGCTGGATGAGGAAATGAGGCCTCAAGTGGTCACAGATCTGCTGAAGGTCCCAGGCGAGAACACTGGGCCAAGCTTCTCAAAAGCATGCTGATGGCTGGCTGTGTTGCCCAGGAATCTTGACTTTGGTACCATGGTAAGGTTTTATTTCCACTGAGTTAATACCCACACCCAGAATGGGAGTGATAGGAACAGGCAAAACATGTAGGCCTCAGTTGAGTGTTTCTAATTTCAGCACACATTTGTGTTTGCCTGTAGTAAGCAGAGGAGCATGTGGTTATAAGAAAATCAATTTGCACCTTTTATGTGTACAATAAAAGAAGCATCTTGTCTCTGTTGAGCTGTAGAATTTCTTTTTTAATATTAACATTGTTGGGGAGTTTTCTCATCATAAAACTGATTCATGGCACACTACCCATAGAAGTTTTGTCATGTGATGTGACCCTATTAAGAAGCTCTCTACTGTGTTTTATGTATTGTGTGTGTGTGTATATGTATGTATGTATATACACATACACACACATCTATAAGAACACATCCATTATTTTGTTTCCTGCTTGTTCTGGCTACCTAGTGCCACTCTGACAAGAATATACCACAAATGGGATGGCATTAACAAACAGGAGTTTATTCTCTTACAATTTGGAGGCTTTAAGTCCAAGTTCAAAGAGCCAGCCTCTAGGGGCTGGGTGAAAGCCCCTCAACCTTGGACTTCAGCTCTGCCTCCTTCTCCTGGCCCGCTGGAGCTTGAGGCTTTTCTTCACTTAGCTGCTGGCTGCTGAGGCTGCCAAGCCCAAAGTTGACAAGTAAAAAGGCACAGTCCCAATGTTACCAAATCACACGACAGGCCATTAATTTAAGTCCATTGTAAGTCCCAAGGTCTGCAGAGCATAGCAAGCTGCTGAACAACGATATGGCTACATGCAGAGTCCAAGCATGCCATAAGCTCAAGACCATTCCCCAAGGCTTCTCCTTATATACAGGAAGCAGACCACAGTCCCTAAGGCAGCTACTCAGCTGCTCATAGTAGATTCCACCATGGAGTTGAGTACCGGTCTCGCTGTGGGCAATACTACATCCAGCTGCCCAGCCACTCCACCAGGCCCAGCCAAGTTGACACACAACCTGAACTACCACACTGCTTATGTTGTTGTTGTTATGTGCCATCGAGTCAGACCCGACTCATAGCGACTCCTCCTTGGGTTTCCAAGGCAGTATCACTATGGAAGTAGATTGCCCTATCTTCCTTCCAAGGAGTGGCTGGTGGGTTTGAACCGCCAGCCTTCTGGTTAGCAGTCAAGTGCCTTAGGCACTATGCTACTAGAGTGCCTGTACACTCCTTATAGTAAAATATAATAATATAATAATAATAATAATAATAATAATAATAAAAGTTTCTCCATAACAAATACCTTCATAGATTGTGATACCAGCATGATATACAGCATATAGATGTAGTATGGTTTGCTTCACCATTCTTCTCTACTGTGTGAGCTTTAGTATGGTAACAAATTTTCTCTCTTAAAAGTCATGTGATGGAAACAGAAATTCATGAGAAACATGCTGTATCTTAACTGTGGTATGCAGTTGTCGAAACTCATCAAATTATACATTTAAATCAGAGGTAGTCCACTCTACATAAAGTATTCCTCAATGAAGTTGACAAGGAAAAAAAGAATTATGAACTCCTTATGAGAAAAGATAAAATATACACTATTAAGCATAGAAAAGGTATAATGAGGGACAGAGTATATGACTTGTTTTCTTGTTATTATTTTTTGTGGTGTGGGGAATAGCTATTCATATCTGTTTATATTTGAGTAAAGAAATTCTAGGAGAACACACAAAGCAAGAAAAGTGATTGGTTATAGTGTGGAAGCAAATGGAGCAGTTGTGGACAGGAATGGGATTGAGATTTTTCTCATTGAATACTTTTTATGTTTTATCGTCTTTTTTAAACCATGTAAATATATACCTATTAAAATATTTCATTAATGGATATGTAAAGCATTTGCACACACATACACACACAAAGTAATGTGATGAATAGCCTTGTGTGTGAATCTGTGTTTGTCTGCTCATACTTTACTTAGGTTAACTTCCTAGAAGTGAAACTGTGACTCAAAGGATGTGAACATCCAAAGGTTCTCTTCTGTTTGTTTTTCTGTGTATACGGTAAATTATCTATCACGTGAAATATGCCATTTTAAGTGTATAGTTCGGTGCACACTGAGGTTCTTTCTGATGACTTTCTTGCCATAGCTTAGCACTGGGTGTTAACTGTTTATCATCTCCCATGTGGTCCTTCTCCAGTTCTTTTTTCCTTAGATCCCTAACATTCCCTGGTAATCATGTGAGATTCACAACCTCTCTTCTTTAGAAAGCCCTTCAGTGGCAGGCAATCTGCTGACAAACAGATGTGGATGTTTCCCCAGCAGGCACCGTGACCAGGTGCCACTTTATGGCTCCTCAGAGTTGGGGTACAGTATTGGGCATTTCTGTGCAAGTCTGCAATCAGCTGACGATGGCCTCCCACAACCACCTGTCACTCCTGGACCAGATTCTCCCCTGCAAAGTGCAGGGGTTGTCGCTTTCATGATAGCACTGTCTTTTTCCTTCTCACCTCCCAGGTTTTGGGACCTTGTCATAGATGCCAGATGATTTGCATTGATCAGCAAACTGGGCAAAGAAATCAAGATGTTTTCCAGAAGCTTTCTGAGAGTCGAAAGAGAAAGGTAAGCATGATTTCAAAATACAGCCCCATCTTAAGGCCCTGATCATCTGTGTCATAATAGTGCTGAGTGATTTTTTTATGTATATATATGTATATATTTATACTTCCAGATCTTTTTGAAGAAATATGGAACATAAATATGTAAATAAGTCAAGTAGTGCCATTGTCTCAGTCATTTTTTTTCTTCACCATATAATCTCACGAAGAACAAAATGTCTTATGGTGAATAGAGTGCATACATAGAAAGATTAAGTAAATTTCATTAAACTAAGGCTGTAAATCATGTTCTTAAGAGTTAAAATGCCTCAGTGTTGTTGTTGGGGATTCCAGATTATAAAAGCTGAACTTTAAAATGGTGATGTTTTAGGGAGATTTATTTTCAGGCTCATACTTTCTGTGAGGGCTTTTTGTTTGCAAAGAATTCCCAAAAACCAAGCGTATTAGTTAGCTGGTGCTGCCGCAACAAAAATTACCACTAGTGGGTGGCTTCAAAGAACAGAAGTTTATTTTCTCAAATTGGGGTCTTGGTGATGCTGATTCCTTTAAAGAACCTCTTTATCACAACACGGTGAGGAAGCCTATCAATTAGAAACACAAAATCTTTGGAGCCAAAAGGGAAACCTGAGAGCATGTCGAGAGGTATTCTTGTCACAGATGTATATAACAGAGGAAATAGTTGTAGAAGACATTAGAAATGGAGGCAAGCCCTGCTAAGATGGAATACCAGCTTCACAGCACAGTACAGGCAATGTGGATGGAACCACATTTCACCTTTTATCTATGAGTCCCTGGGTGGTACAGACAGTTAAGTGCTCAACTACTAACCAAAAAGTTGGTGGTTGGAACCACCCATAGGTGCCTTGGAAGAAGGCCTGAAAACCTGCCTCTAAAAGGTTTGAAAACCCTATGGGTGCACACTCGACACATACAGGGTTGTCATGACTCAGAATCAATTAGATGGCAGTGGGTTTGGTTTTTAGTTTTCTGTGAGTCAGGGCCACTATTGTGTCTGACTTCATGTTTTGTGTCTAGAACTCTAGCCTGAGAAAGTAATCCTTGGTACTGTAAGTACCAAGAAAGCTCACTGTAGCATTATTTAACACAACAAAACAAATTTTAAGCAACAATAGGGGAAGACTTTGGTAAATCATGGTGTGTGTACTCCATGGACTGTTACACACATTCAAACAACATGATGAAGACCGTTACTATGGATATGGAAATGACAATGGAATGTTAAATGACAAAGCAGGGTACCAAAATATTTTTAGGGTATGATTATAGCGATATACAAATATGCATAGAAAAGGAACTGGAAGGAAATTTAGCATAGCTAAGTATTGTTTTATTCATATTTGTATCTTTTGGCAATCAACATACTGCCTTGCTGTTATTTAAAATCATCAGATGAATGACAAAGAATGAAGAACAAGTGTGGTAGAACTGAAGGATTTGAGAGAGAGTTCTCAAGAAGATTTACATCATACTTCACTTTGGACCTTCTATCTTTATTCTGGAGAATTTAACTTAGATCATGTGTTCACAGGGACAGTGCCTAGTTTTGCCATTATCTTCATAAAATGGCTTTACGTCAGGAAAAAGAGTAGAAATGGGC